AAATTGTAATTTTACTTGAAGATACTGGTGTTTATTTTTCACTACCTTCATAGTGGCATCAGGCCTGAAAGAAGTAYGTTTACTAAGTTGCAACAAGTGTGACTGAACTGGACATCTATTTTATTCTCTGTCTCCCAGACCAGCGAGGCTCAGGGTCCTTCTTAATTTCCTGTCGCCCTCTGGTCTTTCTGTGTTTCCCACCATCTCTAAAAGCCTCTGACTGTCAGTCTCTCCCATGCTTCATCACTGTGTGCATGACCTTATTCTGCCTCTCCAGATTGCTGTTTAATAGGAGTCTTCCTCCCTGGTGAACAATGATAAGCTAATGGTCGGGGAATTTAACAGCGGCATCTGTCAAAAGGAAAAAAAAAGTGACGGAGAACTGTTGTGGGCTAAAAGTGAACAAACTGTTTCAATTTTGCCCACATGAACAGATAAAAGTTTTGCTGGGTGGTTAGTTTACATAAGGGTGTATTTTTAGAAGAGGGTCTTGCTGATAGTTGACATGATACGTATCAAATRAGCATTAGCTGTAATCTGGATTCTTTCAATAGCATCTCTGTTTTAGAGAATTACACATAGACTGGCCTAAGTTCCCTTTTTTTATTCCACTAGTTAAGGCCTTCATACTCCATCCGAAGATATAATCTGCTTTCATTGTCGCAGTTATATCACAAAAATTGTGTCATTTTGTTTGCAGAGCAGCCTCGGCCTCCACTTCTCGAGACAAGGCTCGGGAACTATTTCTCACAGGGAATGTCCAGTGTTTTTTTGTGATTGATCAGAAGTTCAAGGGCGTGTTTGTTTATACTGATAAGTGATTAGACAACAATGGCAACATTTTGCTTAAAATATTTTTACTTCCAGAAGCTGACTGTTGTGCATTTAAACAACTCCGATAGTTTTTAGGAGAAGCTGTCTCTGGCAGGAAGAAAGCCTGTGCTGTGACGTGTACAACAAACGGGAAGGATTTACTGGGAGCTCGGTATGGTGCGTCACATGGGTTATGAAAGGTGTGTGCAGAAATGAATGTTGAGCAACCACATGACCGCGMATCTGTTTGGCTTCAGATTGAGTATATTAGGGCCTTTATTCTCTTGCAAGACTGAAAACAAGCAAATCAGCCCTATCATTATGACTAACTGCTTTACTTCAGGCAGTATCCTATTTTGTGTTCTGATCAGCTACAGCGGCAAAGAACAATTATGGGTGAATCGGAATGTTCCGTACCAGAATATAAACAATATATTCTTTGGGYGAGTCCTTGTGAACTTCTTCTTTTATTGTTTTTTATTCTTCTTAACACAATCACATCCCATTACATCTGAGTTTAAAAGCCAGAACACACTGTTGCTTTGTTTCTTGCATCATTCCTCAACAGTATTTACAAGGTCCAATGCTGTACACTTTGATAGAAAGTAACTTACTGCTGCTTTCACCCAAAAAAAAAAAAGAAAAAAAAAAGAGTCAGGTACTCACACTTACAGCAGTTTAACAAATCTATCAGAAGTGACTGCTCTGGCTGTAACACAAGCTGACATCAAGATTAGCCAGCTGAAAACATAATGCTTTGTTACAGGTGAGCTACAGTATATTGCTCTATGTCCTTATTTAGGCAGAGCAACTGACCCTTTAAATACATTTTTTTTAATCAGGCTGTTTCTGGAAGCCTAGCTCCTGCTTTTGTACATGTATGTCAAATAAGTCATCCATATTTTATTTTACACAAATCTTAAAGGGGAAGCAACAATCATGCTGCAATGGCTGGTGTTGTGTTCATTTTCATGAGAGACYGGACAAACATTTAAGAAAAGTTAATACATTTATTACAGAGAAGTTGAACAAAGGGATTCACAGCTGTGGGTCCCTTGTGTCCTTGAGAATGCATAGAAACAAAGAGACAATGCATTTTATATTGTCTTAGTTCACAGTTCATTCATCTGATTAGTTAATCCACTAAGGGGAGCTCCTCTGGCTCCTCATGGATCTCCCTGATTGGTTCTGAAGTATCCCACCAACATGATCCAATCCTTCCAATAGTCCATCAACCTGCTTTCCTTCTTCCGGAAATAAGAAACTCAGACTTCTGTCATGTGACTTCTTTGGTTGAACTACATCTATTAATTATATTCACTAAGTTAGAGTTTTTCAATAGTATAAAAATACATTCATTTAACAACCTGAGGTTTAATCAATTCGTAAACACATTTATAAAAACATTTCATCCTTCATGAGATATATAAAAATGTTGAATTTAAAACTTGTTTAATATGAAAATGTGAATATTTGTATATGAGAGATAGAAAATAAWTATTAAAATAACACCACAATGATGTTATGGCAAATAATACGTACTGAAACAAAGGGGGTGACAGATACCAGCTGACCCGCAATGTGTTATTYTTTAATGAGTTTCATCTTTATTAGCTTCTGTTTTCTTCTTCTTATCTTTTATACTCCCATGGTTTTGACAAACTATGCAGATTTAGAATAGATCAAAGTTTTGTTCAAGCCTTATGTGAGTTAGGGATATTATTAGTGAGAGGATGTTAAGAGATGCTTCCTGTCATCTTTTCTGATCTGGTCAGCTTGTTCTCCATTTTGGTGTTTGAACAGGAGAATTGCCTTTAATTGCACTACTTCAGATGTGCACTCGATGAGGCTTTTTAGAGGACAATTTTTTTGGAACCTCGTTGACACATCATCAGTGAAGTACATGGATTCCTGTCACACACTCTACCCTCATTGTGTAATATAGCTGAGGTGGTGGAAATAATAGCTGGAGAGAGCACACTGATCAGTCCATGCTACAACGATAGCAAATGAAGCTGACACGCCTCGTTGTAATACAAGTCAGAGCACAGAAGAAGCACAAGCTTTGACAACAAAAAAGGAAGACAGAAGGACCAGCCCCACTGATGTATCATCACATTGAGCTTGAAGTCCTCCCCTGACTTGAGGTTCATCCAGGTGTGGAATAATGACAGCCTTAGACATGTTAAATCATTGGTCTAGTGTTCGTGTGTTTACAGAATTTGCTCGTGTCTTTTCTGCAGACCAGATGAAGYTCAATCATGTGAGCTGGCATATTAATTAAACTTTTTAAGACTTGTCACAATAGATGTGTACAGTGAGCTGTAAACCTTCGATTAGGCTGGGGCTTAGAGCTGCTGCAGAAACTGTCAGAATCTGGAATAACAGAAAAGAAAATCAAATTTTAATGATTTTACTATTATACATTAGAGTAGCTTATTGGTGCACTCTGAACTGATTGCTTGCAGGTTTAAAAGCAGTCTGGGGTGTCATGTATTGTTGAACTTAAGTGCTCTTCAAATGCTTGAAATGAAGGGTAATGGGCTTCATACTCAGGGCAAATGTGACAAATATAAAAATGCTTTTTGATCAGATTTACTATTATAACAATGATAGGCTGAAAACAACAAAATAAAAGAGTAATGGTCATCATTTTAAGCCTCAAAACAACAGGTTTAGCATTAAATCTTGTTTTTATAAAGTATTCACCTGTTGAAGGAGAAGAAATTTCTTCTAAGTTGAATGTTTGAGTCAAACAGTGGTGGGCAGTGCTAATTAAAAAAAATAGCTCCACAATTTTTAAGGTGTTTATGAAATGATTTAGGTCCGCAACTTCAAAAACGCTTATGCCATAGAAAAAATAGCAGAAGCTAATTTTAAAGCACAAGTTCAATTTGACACTTATTAGCTGGCAACAATACATGTACAATATATGCACAACACTGCCAACTAGCGGTGTATGAACCCTTGTACAGCTTAATCCTAAAAGTGCCAATTGCTGGGGATGTGATTTCATGAAACAGACCTTTAGCTCCTGGTGTAAACATTAAAAAGTTGTTGAGGATTGCTAGTTCGACTGATTCTTTAAAATGTTGTTGAGGATTGGTAGTTCGGCTGCTTTTTTGTCTTTTTCTTTTGTTTGTTGTAGAATTTTCATTAAAGAAGCATCAATAAAGAAATTTTAAAACTGTTTATTGGAAAACTGAAGCGATGCATTCTGGGTACATGACATATTTGATTTGTGATGGGAAACAAAAGCATGCAGTACATGAAGCTATCTTCCCTTCAAAATAAGAGCTTGGATTTTAAAATTTTTCATTTAGTTGCTCCAGTTGACCACTAGATGTCTGTCTTCATCAGCATAAAGTCTTTAAATAATTTCTGCGTCTCTAACCCCGTTGGCCGATTGCTTCAACCAGTTACGTCAAGTATTGAGCTCCAGCATTTAAACTTTTTTTTAAAAGGGAGCACCAATTGTAAAGTAAAATAAATCAATACATACAAAATTTTGGTATGGATTACAAACATTAACTGTTTTTGCTATTGCCTTTCTGCTATGTAAGCAGACACAAAGCATTGTGGGAAATCAGAACCGTGGCCGAAAGCAACTATCAGCAAGGATGTATACCTTCTCAGTTAGCGTGTTTGTCTGGGAGAGGTGCTGTTGGACGGATCATGTGTGCTGTGATTCATTGACAGCCTTGAACCTTCCGCTGTTCAAGATAATGATGACTGGTAGATAATTAGTTATTAGCGGTACTGCATTTTCATTTTAGAAAGCGCAAATACGCTTATGAATTATAAAAATTAGTAAGGTCGCTAAAGCACAAACAAAATATTTAGGTCCGCAAACGGATTTGCGCTTTAGCGGGCTGGTGCCCACCACTGGAGTCAAACTTATATATTCTTCACTATACACACTTTGCTCTGGTAATGCTGCCATCCCATTCTCCAAAACATTCATGTTAATACCATTGTCTGTTTTTAGCAAACCAGAACGCATTTTTGTCAAGTCTGGAAGTGTCACCAGACAGATACTGTCAGTTTAAGCAGTTTTAAATTTACAAATTATGTTTGTTTGTTTTTTCATGGTTACCATGTTTGATTAGTTGAATGTAAATTAGTCTTTTTGATGTTTTTCCTATCCATATTGTCTTCTCAGCTGTCTCTTTTTGTCCTTCTGGCAGGGGAGCATCTGCACATTTGTTCTCAGGGTTACACCTGCTGTACCAGTGTCATGGAGGACAACTTGGCCTTGTTGAGCAGCAGGGAGATGGAGGCAGTTTTCAAAAATGCCAGCCGGTCCTTACAGGCCTCGCTTGCTGGACAGCGCAAGGCCTTTGATGGTGAGTTTTAGCATTCATAATAACATGTGCCTGATGAGCTGGAGGGTGTGAATGTGGAGCATATTCTTTGTGGTGCTTCTCATTTTGCATTTTAAATTTTGACATGTTGTCAGAAAAAATACAGGTACTTACATCAGAAGACAGCCATGCAAGAAAATTAGGACATGATACAACCTTAGAGGCTTAAGATGCACACTGAAATACATATTCTACAAAACTAAAACCAACAT